GGTCCTTAGAATAGGAAAAAATGTGTAGGGAGGGAAATAGAAAAGTAGATTGAGGATATGAAAGAGTGTTAGGTTGATAGGAGCCGAGCCTGTAAAAGGTACAATCCATTATGAAGTGCTTATTATGGCTAATTTAGTAGAAGTTTTTCCCTGGACTGCTCCCTGAATCGCTTATCTCAGCCAAGATAGATTGCAGTTTTGATCTCGTCTGGGTATAATCGGAACCCCCAGAGGAATTGGATGTTGGGTCACTAGTATCGTCGCGATGTTTACCACTCAACTATCCGTCCTTGAATCATCTTAAGCGACCTGTGGTGACCAAGTGCCAATTAATGCATCACCGTTAGACTCGAAATCTACATTTATCGGAATAATTTACTAAAAATAAATAAATATTAATAAATATTAAAATAATATAACAATAATAATGAAATAAAGCAAATAAATTAATAATATTTAAGGTAATTAGATTATCAATTGCGATAGCAATCACATGTTTGCATAATCACACAACATTCCACTTTGGGACACGATTTCTACGTCTTCACCTTCTGAGGGTGTTGCAGGCAACAGGAAACCAACTCTCCGTGTTTGCCTCATTAACAAAGAGTTCAGACAGTATATACTCACTCGGCTACGATTGGCACAAGATCGTAGAATTTTCCAGCGGTGTAGAGGTCCCCAGCGTCCACGCTCACCATGTCAACGTAGCCGGAGTGAATGAGCCGCATACAGTCGGTTGTTGACTGACTCTGGATACATTTGAGGTCCGGCTGAGAGAAAGAAGGCGAAAAAAGCAAAGGAACACTCATAAGAGCAGAAGAGCGAGGGTTGCCAGAAGGGAATCATGACGAAACGGACAAATTCACCTGAATCCCCTTTGCACCGAATGCGTTCGCCATTTTCTGACACTTCTCCATTTCCCACTGATCGATTGTACACCATCGCAGGGTTGGAAGGGGACACAAGTTGAGTTTATTCAGAGAATTCATGAAATCCTTGTCTGTAGTGTCTGAAAATTTTCAAGAAAATTATGGTTAAGCTTTTAACTGTATCACTAATGAATATGTTTCCCAATAACCCCCAGATCAGTGGGGCCAGATTGATGAAGGCAAACAACAATCACATAACAAAACCTATTAAGCTTATTGATAATTGATAAAGTTAGATGAGATGTATTCACCCAATTTCGTTTAAGGTGGTGAAGGACTGGTAGAAGAAGAATTTTCCCACAATCATATGAGTTGAATTTCACACAGCCATGCTTTCCTTCATCACCTTAAACGAAATTGGGTGAATACATCTCATACTACTGATTTACTGGTAGTCACGAAAA